AACGAGGAAAGAACGAACCAGGAGAGATCCATGCTCCGCCAACATTCTTCGTCACCAGCTTTGGTCCGGCGTTGTCGATCAACACAGGTGGTACGCGTCCGACAGCCTTGATGATTCCCCTATCCAGGAATATATCGCCCACTATAATCTCGTATCCATCGTCTCCTCCCGTCCAAATCGTCGCGTTCTGGATCCATGTCGGTGGTGTGCCAGGCTCGAACCGGTCAGACACGGTTCGGCTCCAAAAGCTGTCCGGCGGTCCAGGCGTAGCATGAAGTGATTTACACTTGTGAATGATTGGAGCAGCATGGGGTGGGTGCGGACGTGAATGATGCCTGTGCGAGAGGTGGGACGCGTTCCAGAACACGAACCCTGCTGCACCGAGTAGAACGACGGCAAACGAGTTGAGCCGAAGGACACAGGCTGGCTTGTTTTTACGCCGAATGAGCGTAGGAACCGATGTTGGCAGCTCTTCGGCTTTGCTCGCCATGGCGGTCGAGTCTGGAATTGGCCACCAGAAGCGCTTCATAGCATTCAAGTGGGATCAAATGACGCCACATTGTGTAAACAAAGTGTTACGAAATTCGCGAGTGACATCTGTATGCATATAATCACGGTTGTGCTGAGCTGGGAATGATGGTGGTATTTGATATCTGACAGCTGAAATTCTGGAAAAGTTTCAAAACTAAATCCGAAACGGTGTTTCGTAATCCAGCTCTTGTGCGTACTGGGCTGAGAAGTGGACCAGATCATCAGGGGGAAAGGTTGGCTCAAAAGTCGCTTTATAGCGGCTAATGAGCAAAGACCCTGAAAACTCTTTAATGTAGCCAAAAGAGTCACCAAGAGAGCAAAGAGTTACGAAGAACCCAAAAATTTACCAAAAAAGGTAGTTAAAGAGCCGCAAAGCGCTGAAAAGAGTTATGAAGAAACAAACAGTCTGGTATCTCTAAATTGAGCCCCAGGCTTCTTCTGATGATAGCGATTCGTTTTCCTTGTAATATCCACCTCGATTTTGACATGTGAATCATACTAGTTGGGTTCTTTTTACCCTTGTTTCGTGCTTTTAATTTCTCACTAGGCCGCACTCGAGTAACTGGCTGGTCGGGTCAAAGAAGAAGACACAACAGAGATAGTTGATGAATATTGAATAAGATGCAATCTTTATGGTGGCTATATATAAGGCGCTAGTTTATCCGGTATTCAATTTGTAGTCATATTGACACCGAGTATCAGCAACAGCACGCACCGTGACTGGCTCGAATCTGGATGCTACAGAGCGATATTGTGAGCTCATCCAGACGTTGATATAGTGCGCGTTATTACCCGCGGCCGACAGTGCCAGATCTCATCGTTATCCGTGTATTTCGCTGATGCTCGGTCCCTCAGCCGGACGTTACCAGAAACATGTTTGCATAGATGTTTACACCTGCACCCTGCCAGCCCCCCAAAGTGCAATTGGCATGGAGTCGCTCCACAGGTCTAAGGATACTTTTGGGTGTCTGCTAGATCGGAAGTCGCACGCGCCCCTGGTGCTACCAAAATCTAGTGAACGCTCAAAGCATAGTTAGACCCCGAAGTGTTAATACAAGCTAACTACATCTCGGAGTTTTGCGAGAGTGCCTGATCGTAGCTACTCGTAAGATACTTTCATACGCCACAAGGACCCGAGAATAATTTGTACGATTTTTAGATTCACTTCAATCATAGGGTAGCCGCAGAGCCCATTCTATTGCCTAGTATTTGGCCAATTTCCAGGCCCATTTACCTTTGGCATGAAACTTCGCATAGCGTGTCACATGCGGCCCGGGCTTTTTTATACACTTATGGACAAAAGAATTGAGCCGCTCCATGTTTCCATTCTATACTGCATATATGCAGCTCTCAAAAGACTTCTTATGTATATACCTGATACAGCATATATTGGCAGTCTTACACCAAGAAATAGGATCGTACTCGAAGAAACGGAGGTGCTACGCCGAAAGATGCTAGGGGAGGTATGATGGGCAAAAACACAGCGCGCCGGGATCGTATTTAGCGACGGTTTGAAATGCGCAAGGGTGTAACTACAGAAAGTAGATATCGATCGCACTTTAGATCGTCTGAAACAAACGAGCCGTTGCCGAGATATAGCCCCCACAAAATCGGCGATTTCATCGTAATTTGGTCAAACAAGCACAGTTCCGGTGCAATCGTCGATTTTGAGGGGGCTATATCTCGGCAACGGCTCGTTTGTTTCAGACGATCTAAAGTGCGATCGATATCTACTTTCTGTAGTTACACCCTTGCGCATTTCAAACCGTCGCTAAATACGATCCCGGCGCGCTGTGTTTTTGCCCATCATACCTCCCCTAGCATCTTTCGACGTAGCACCTCCGTTTCTTCGAGTACGATCCTAGTTCTTGGTGTAAGACTGCCACTATATGTTGTATCAGGTATATACATAAGAAGTCTTTTGAGAGCTGCATATATGCAGTATAGAATGGAAACATGGGGCGGCTCAATTCTTTTGTCCGCAAGTGTATAGGACAATGCTATTTGTTGTACCCTCCAATTATGCTACAGAGTCAGGCGTTTTCATTATGTATTCTAGTAATCTTATGGGTCTATTCCACCGGTGGTTTTATTGTTTGCTATGAAGCCGCGGTATTAATTTTAAGTGTAATTCTAACGGCATACATTGACCAATGTAGACTTACCAAGTCATGCGAATTGATTAGCAAGGCGATCAAGTAGAGTAAAGCGCTCCAAGTAACCAGCCTCCCTGGAGCCAACTCCAAATTTGACAGAGTTATTGGGCGTACACACGTACATCCTGCATCCAGGCGAAGGCAAGCAAGTCTTCGCCCTTGGGTACTTTGCCGCGTTTAGCCCCTTTGGTCAAGAGGGGATGGAAGCCGAATGGCTGAATAAGGATATTGATCGTATTGGAAATGGTTGAGTCTATATAACTACATAAGGTGTATTTATAACATACCGAAAAGGGAAAGTTGGAGCTGTGTAAATAACAGAAAGTCGATTATCCTAGTGTCTCAACTAGGCAACTTCCTGTAGAATGTTCATGTACTTGGTAGAAGATACGAGAACATCGAGTCAAGTAATCGAGTTAAGTGCTGAATGCGCAGTATATGTGCAGTAAGGCGAACCTATGACTCGGAGCGATTTGTAGGCATAAATAGAGGCCCTTCGGGCCCTCTGGACGCCATCAATTCACTTACTTACACACTCTCTTCTCTCACTCTTTCTATACTCTTAATATACACATTTGACTTCTACACTTCCATTTTGAGCAATTGGAGCGTAGCATAGTTTTCAGTACGTACTGAAAATACAATTGCTACACCCTCGTGGAGTCATACTACAATTAAGAACATACCACAACAAATCGTACTGCGATTACGCATCTTTCCTGCGTACAGAGCCGGTCTGGTACGGTATCGGCTCATTGACCCATGCCCCTACAACCCAGCGAATATATGGTTGAAATCACTTTCACGATACTCCAATACCCAGCCTGAATTTTTCAGTGTGAGAGCTAACTGCGCCAACACTAGTAGTGTTCTCAGCTGCACAAAGCTACAACGGCGACAAAAGCCTTGCAGCACTCGTGTCGGTGCTCTAGAAGGCCGGGAGCGGCGCGGCGAAGAACATTCTCAAGTATTCCGTACGCAGAGTAGCATGTGGCATATGTGTTCTAGATGCTATACCATTCGTAGAGCGTATGACCACGGAGAGAGGGGAAATGCGGCAAAAGGGCGGGGTTTTGGGTCATGAATCCGGGCGCCTCCAAGCTTAGCCATAGTAGTATGGTCCAAAGCTGCGCCCAAAAGTGCGATCGCAAAAAGCATATGAACGTCTGTTTACGTCTCATAAATTTTGAAAACACGGCGGCCTAAACTTGGCGATTTCGACACCTTTTACGCAAAAACAGTGCCTTCAAATGCTCAAATCCCTGCAATGGCGGTACACAAAAAGAGGCTCATACAATCGTCAAAATTACACGATGAGGTGCTTTAAAACATACTCGGCCAAACCCCGAAAATCTAGCTAGCGCGAAGTAGCTCCACCTGTCTAAGTATGCTTTTTAGCACTCACGAGGAGCCGAGTAGCACGCGCTACCAGCGCTACCAGGATCTCGTGGGCGCTAAAAAGCATACTTAGACGCCGGGCTTCTAGTGCGTGCTAATCAGATTTTTGGGTTTTGGCTGAGTACTGCTATGTCTTAGCTCGGAAGCGCGTGAATTCATGACCCAAAACGCCACCCTTTCACCGGTTTCCCCTCTAGAAGTGGTATAACATCTAGAATACATGTGTTGTATTGCATACTACATACGGAATACATGAGACTACTTTTCCACTCCGCCACTTTCTTTCTAGAGCATCAACGTGAGTGCCACAAATCGTGTTTTACCCAGCGCAGGAGCATGTTTAAGCGAAACACTGCATGTGCACGGCGATTCCAAGTATGGATATCCTCTCACATACGACTCGATATGAGATTGTAGTACCCAGTAAACAGGATTGCAATCAGCTGCACCGCCCTCTTGGATCGAAACAGAAGGGGAAGCGCGCTCAACGCACCCACGAGTTACCTCATGGTCTTATGAGTTTGAAAGTCAGGAGCCATCCTCTATTAGTGAATGAGGCCTTGAAAAACGAGGTTCACAGCCGTTGTGGAGTTGTGTGCACCACTCTTGCTCGTTTGTTTGGGGGGGGGGACCCTCAGAGTCGCGCCATTGTCTTTGGTGCTAGGCGGGTTGATCCTAGCTACTGAGCCGTTACAGCCTTTTTCAGTTAGACTATAATTTATTTATTAGATGTTTCGTAGCGCCATTGCGCTTTGATGATATCTGTATGCTAGTTGAATACATACATATGGTTTGAGTCAACCACACTCTCTGAGCCGCACTTAGTCTTGCGCTGTTTGTCTGTTTCTTCATGAAGTCCCAAAAATAACCCCCATGCCAACGGGATATAACACTTAGTCCAAAAAAAATCCATGCGGCTGTATAGTGTAGTGGTTTAGCACTCGGGATTTTGATCTCTTGTCTGCTATCTTCCCGCAACCCCGGTTCGAACCCGGGTACGGCCTTTTGTTTCAGTTTGTTATCGACTTTCTGAAATCTCTCCAGTAAAATCAAGCTAGTTTTCGATCGCCGTTCCCGGTGGCTCACTCTGTGAAGGTGATTTTCTTCACTTTTAGTGTGCTCCTAGACTATTTCGACGTACATGATAGGTGCTCCTTATCTATTGACCGAGGCTAGAGACCATGAACGTCTATGTTTCGGGACTACTTGCTAAGTGTACAATAGCCACTTTTGTCAAAACTGATCTATAGAAATAGGCTGTCTGAACGCCACAGAGATTGTGGCCCTCACGTGGATTGAGCTACCTTCGAGGGATCTACGCTGCTGCGTATAGACAGGCTACGTCATTTTAAGACCCAGCGACCACTCTCAGAATTTACATATGACCAAGTTGGGCGAACAGTTATACAAACAGAAAAGAAGTCGTAATGATAGTTGACTACACAGATTTAACCGATAGTCCGAAAGTCTGAGAGTCCGAGAGTCCGAGAGTCCAATATGAGAAATAAACAACAAGTAGAACGTGGTAGATCTGTAGAGACTGTACACATTCATGCCTATACACTCAAATCCAAATACCCACCATACCGAGATTGGTCGGACATCGGACGCACAGGAACCGCCAACAGCGCACCAACAACTACGGCCGAAAACATCAATGCGACCGCCGCACTCCGAACCACAATCTCCCACTGCGCACGCGTGATAATCGGACTCCACACACGCGTGAGCGGAGCGATAAACGGCGTATACCGTTTCCTGCTTGATTTCATCCGGCGGCGTAGTCGAGAGCTAAACGGTTCGGTAGGTATGTCAAGTGACGAGGATCGTTGGTGAGGAATGACTCGACGCCGGCCTGGGAGTTCGTCAAAGTTGAAAACAGGTCGAGAGGGCATGGGGACCTTTTCGTTGATGTTGAGCGACTTGGGCTCAAACGGTGCGATAAACGGTGCACTGTCAAACGGGCTTGAGATTGAGGGGGAATAAGGCGGAATGGTAGGGATGCTCATTCCAGATGTAGTCGATGTGTTACGAGAGTGATGGAATCGGGCAGAAGTGAATGATTTGGGGAGTGTTGTTGGAGAGGCGGGAAACGGTGAAGATACATGGATATCAGCTGGAGTGATGGGAGATGGGATAGAGTCCGTCATGGACACTTGACGAATAGGCATAGGTTTTTCAATATCTGTAGACGCGGTATATGCATGACCTAGCGTGAATCCCGAGATTTGGGCGGGTATATGCGCCGCAGTCTCAGCATCAATCGGACGAGGCGATGAAATTGGGGGCCTGGAAAGTTCGAAGGGGTACAGCTGGCGAGCGTCTCCAAGGATATAAATGATGAAGCAAATTCCATGGATAGAACTCAAGAAGATCGTCGCTCCAAGCCACAGAATAGGTAAAGCGGCAAGTCGAAGCGCACGAGGTTTGTTGCCCAGAATGGTAACCAGCAACGGAGCGAGTGCGATCAAGCTCACACCGATACCACCAATAAGAGCGCACCATACACGCTGCTTCCCGGCATTCCTTGTCCGCGAAGCGACAAAGCGGAGGAGAGACTCTCGTAGCATATGTTCCACCTCGCGCAAGATTTGGTTGAAGATGGGTGGCGGTGGGTGTGGTTGTCCCTCGGCAGCAGCGAAAAAGTTGGAGATGAGGATGGAGGGAAGATTGAGTTCATGCGTCGAGGAATGAGAAAAGAACGTCGATTTGGCACGAGTAAACGAGAGAGCAAGTGATCGTGAGTGAGCAGTCGCCGTTGAGAACCATGCTCGATGTCGTTTGGTATATCTATCGTTGATGTGGGTGAACACAGCTCTACCCTGCCGGAAATATTGACCTACTCTTTCAACCAAAGGACAAAATACCTATCCGGGGATCAGTGCTGTTACGACTATGCATAATAGGCACTCACAGGTTTTCGGCAGATCGCTCATCGAACAAGAGATATTCTTCGAAATCCTTCAAACTGAGCGGCGGAAGATGTTTTCCGTCCAAGATGTCATTGAGAGAGACGCGAAAGATAGGCATGACTGTAGGCGCATTTATTTCCGGTTAGAATCTTACGCAAGTCGAATAACTTACTATTGCAAGAACGATGTTTATGTTTTCCATCAGCTACGGGAGGAGTTCCTATGCGCCGAGGAAGATTGCGCAAAGCAGTCCACCAGGAGCACTGGTAAGTAGGTGGTCGGTAGGCCTTTTTGACTCCAAACCCAAAATCCATCCTAAGTAGATAAATAGAAAAGAATGTGACAAGACCCAGCCTTGATATTGGACAACATGCGCAGACGGCTCGCGTCTGAGAGGGACAAAAAAGCAAAGGGGAATTTGGTGGAACATCGCTCGTACCTATGAGTTTCCCGTAAGTGGGGAACCTGTCAACCGTACGTGAGCGCCCCAGTATCACGAGCTCGGCGATACCCAAACGAAGCAAGCGACAGATTTCGCCGCCTTGGATACTTGGACACAGTTGATCCTTCGAGCTCATTCACATGGCGACATCCGAGCGGAACGATCCTATTGGGTGAAATACAAATAATATACACACAGAATCAAACTGAAATAAGATCTAAGGTAGTAAACGAATCATGAAATCAAGCCTTTTGCGCACCCGTAACTCCCTGGAACATAACCAATGCCTGCATAATCATACTAGGATCAAGTCGGATAGCCGCGCCCAATTGGTTCAATACATCATCGAAGCCGCTGATCTGGTGGCGCTGCATGTTACCAAGCGCGTTCTCGATCCGGAGCGAGAGCGAGTCGAGTATAGTGAGCAGATCTTCGTCTGACGCGTCCTTTCGGATGTCCGGCATCAACAACGCGGGGTTCGCGTACATGATCGTGGTTTCGGCTTGCTCAATTTGACTCAGACTTGGAGCCGATGGATTCCTTCGGAGCGAGATATCACGGAACACCCGCCCACTCGAGAGTGCTTCGAGTCGGGCGCAAAGGAGCCCGAGTTGACGAATCTGTTCAACGCTGAACTGGACACGGGACGCAGCAGCGGGCGTGTTGGTCGATTGGGAGAGTTTCCACCGCCCGACCAAGGACCTAGGCAAAATAGACGACAGCAGCTCAGGCACCTCGAGCCCCTTCAAACGCCGCTCCCCAACCTCAGTGACGACCGGATCGAGCATCTTGAGCTGCTCCACAACTCGGACGATTTCCGGTTTCTCGCCTTCGCCTTCACCGGGTAGATCATTGTTTTGGAGCCAATAGTTGACCTCTTTGAGAGCATCGCCACTGATCATAATTTCACCTCCCGTTGCTGTGGCGCCGATACGTGCGGAACGGTTCACCATCGGCCCGAAATAGTCCATACGTCCAGTGATCGGATCCGCCTCGCAAACAGGTGCACCCCAATGGATACCCATCCGCACCGACAATCCACGCGCTAGGATCTCCCCGTTTTCCCCAAATATTTCTTTCCCGTCTTCCGATTCAAGAATCTCAATTGGCCAATCCGCATCGCAGAGCCCGGTCTGGACGCTGAAACACCACAGCAGTGCAGCTGGAGCACTCTGGAATGAGACGATGAACGCGTCACCTTCGGTTTTGACCTCGTATCCTCCACACAATCGGAGCAGCCGCCGACACAAACTATTGTGAGTGCGCATTGCTGAGCTCATACCCGGATTCTTCTCCCAAAGGCTGGTCGAGTTTCGAATATCTGTAAACACCAGGGCGATCTGTCCCACGGGGGGCGGGATCTCCTTGTCTAGCCTATTGAGAGTACGATCCGCGACCAAATCGTTTCGACGAGGCTGAACCGTGCGCTTGAGGGCGAGCATCGCGTCCGTCTCGGTGGTATCCACCGCCTTGGTCGTGAATTTGTCCGATACTGAAATGACCATGACCATCGTGTTCCCTTCTGCGCCATAGCTAATGGCGTGATCGCGAAGCGTCTGGGCAGATATCATCGGCTCTTCGCGGCGCGCTCTCGAATCCCGCACAATATCCACCGCCGTCTGAGGATCCATATAGTCCCACAGCCCTCTGTTCCCGATAATCACAAACTCGTCCAGGTCCGTCAGCTGCCAGGATTGCACATCTGGTCGGGCATTTACAGCTGGGAGAAGGTGGTAAGCTCCAAACGCTCGTGCCTCGTCGCATTCAGGCTCGTCGTTCACGAATCCCTTTGGTGAAACCCAGCCCTCGGCCGCTCGGATGCGAATCGTTTCTTCTCGGTCAAAGGGATCGTGCTTGCGTGACAGTTCGTATGGCGTTCCACGACGGGAGATGACGGCGACGGACGAACCGACGTTGGCGACGTACATCATCTTGTCTACGAAGTACACCACGCATGCAGCCGCGCTCGCCTTGAGACTCGCCGGATCGAGGGTCGTCTTGGTCCCGGCGGTAGTCGAGGCTTGGCTCATCTTTCGCACGGTACTTGCCGGCGGCAACAGGTGATCGTATAGGGTTTTATTGAGCGATAGGAACGTACGACGTAGCGCATCAGGCGTGCCCTCCCGGTCTGGCTTGAGCGACTTCAGGAATCCCAGTAGAGTCTGGCTAAAGTTTTCGTGCAAGTACTTGGCCAACCGATTGCTGTTTGCCACCGGCGCCGCCCGACCAAAGATCCCGAACAGGCACTCGTTCTCTCGACCACGGAAATGAGGGACGGCTAGATCAAACGTGTTGAGTTGCTCGACCTTGCCGAGTGTATCAGATATGCCGTATGCCATCCCGTTGATTTCGGAAAACGACGTGCGTACGCGACGTTCGTCGGATTCGTCAGGTACAGACGGCACCATAACCGTTGCATCAATCAAACCGAGCACTCGAATGTCTCGAAGCACCGAGAACCCATTTTCTTGCTTGTCGCCAGGCCGCAAGTTGCTCGAGGGAGCAGTCATCTTGTTGTCTAAGGGTTTAACTACGAGTCGTTTGTTGCCAGATAGATTCAAATAGCGCAGATCTCGATTGAAATCCCTGAAGCGAGTATTAGCGCTTATTCGTGAATGGGCAGGGGGGGCTCACCAATTCCAATCAAATG